TCAGAGGCTAACGTATATATCAGAGGCTACAGTATATATAAAAGGATACCGTATATATCAGAGGATACCGTATATATATCAGAGGCTAACGTATATATCAGAGGCTACAGTATATATAAAAGGATACCGTATATATCAGAGGATACCGTATATATATCAGAGGATACCGTATATATATCAGAGGATACCGTATATATCAGAGGCTACAGTATATATCAGAGGATACCGTATATATCAGAGGATACCGTATATATCAAAGGATACCGTATATATCAAAGGATACCGTATATATCAGAGGATACCGTATATATCAGAGGATACCGTATATATCAGAGGATACCGTATATATCAGCGGATACCGTATATATCAGAGGATACAATATACATCAGAGCATACGTATATATAAAAGGATACCGTATATATCAGAGGATACCGTATATATCAAAGGATACCGTATATATCAGAGGCTACAGTATATATCAGAGGATACCATATATATCAGAGGATACCGTATATATCAAAGGATACCGTATATATCAGGGGATAAGGTATATATCAGAGGATACCGTATATATCAGAGGATAAGGTATATATCAGAGGATACCGTATATATATAAGAGGATATCGTATATATAAAAAGGATATCGTATATATCAGAGGATACCGTATACATCAAAATATACCGGTGGCTTCTCGTGGTCAATACATCATAAAGCATTGGTGGTCAACTTACTTGATGTAGGGAGCCTCAAGTGTGGCCCCCTAACATCACCACAGGGCCACGCATGATATTTAGTGAATGTAATGCTGCAGAAAGCTAGATCAGAGACTGAAAACAGACAACAGGAGATGGACAGAGACTACAGGAAATGGTCAGAGACTGGAGACATACCAAAGGAGATGGACAGAGACTACAACATGCTACATGAAAATGGACACCGGAATAAATCTACAGGAGATAGTCAGGGAGACATGCTACTAGACATGATAGGAGGCTGCAGACATAGTACAGGAGATGGATAGAGACTGCAGACATAGTACGGGAGATGGGCAGAGACTGCAGGCATAGTAAAGGAGATGGGCAGAGACTGCAGACATAGTACAGGAGATGGGCAGAGACTGCAGGCATAGTAAAGGAGATGGTCAGAGACTGCAGGCATG